CTTCCAACCCCAAGTTGTTTTTTACTCGGGGTATATATACACTGTGTATGTGGCAGAGCGGTTTTGGTAGAGGCGTTGATTGTGCTGCAGAGCGGTGTATATACACCATGATGTCACTGCTTGGTTGCCTTGGGTATGTGTGATAATAGTTACATGAATCCCAGTGCTGTGTGTATGTTTTGCTTTCAACATTCAATATGGTACTCTAGACAATGGGTTTGTTATGAGCTAGATATGCTTTGAGTCAGCTACTACCTGGTATATACATCAGATGTGTATGTAATGTGATACCATAGTAATGGGGGTTGGTTTTGCTGAGACTGTGCATGTGTCTGGAGTTACCTGGTACAGCAGATACTGTGACTGTATGAGATTAATGAGCTGAGACTGTGCAGTGAGTTACCTGGTACAGCAGGATGTGTGTGATGAGATGGTACACACATTCCATTTATAGCTTTCCATAACAACTGTACATTTATGTATGTACCTGGGAAAGAACCATATAATGTGTCTGTGTGTCTGTCTGTCTCTCTCCCCTGCAGCTAGGAGAGGGTAAGGAGGTGCTGGTGAAGGTAGAGAGACAGGTGGTCAAGAAGCCATTCCTGGGTGGCTACAGACACAGAGACACTGGGGTGGAGTATCACAATGCTGCTGTTCAGACTGCCCCTCCTCCCAGACCTCATCCTGGAGTCAGCTAGTTGAATACACTCTCTAAAATTGCTATCAAGTCCCTATCTCACTGTACCTTATCCAATTCCTATCTCCCTCCCAACTCCCTTTTCTTACCTTATCTAGCTTAGTTCCCCGTCCCTTTTAACTGAAAGAATGTGAGTGGAAGACAAGACAGACAAATCATGTTTGACTACACATTTAACACAAAGTCTGCATATTATAAAAGGGGGCACATTGCCCTAGACAGACAAAATGGCGGAGTGAAAGGCCACTCGATACACATGCACACTCTCAAGTGTCTGAGTGTCTGTAGAGAATTTGGGGTGAGATTTTTCATATCTGTTGTCAGGTGGACAGATCTGAGCGGGACACCCAGACTGTGGCCACCAGGAACAGGTACCAGCAAGTGTCTGTTGACGCTGCCACTCAGATGGTGAGCTGTCCGAGGGGGGAAGGAGGAGGGAGGGGGAGGGAGACAAAGAGAAATGTATAATGTTAAATAAGGCCAGCAGTTGACTTGTTTGTTGTGCCTTTGCCATTCTACCTTGTATATAGTTCATACATGTAACAATAGACCATGTGATGCCAAGAGGAAAAAAAGATGCGGAGCTCTGGATAGCTGCACGGCACACTTTTGTTCTATCATGGATGTATTCTAATACCTAGTTTAACACATACACACACACATCTATATTAGTGTGAGACAATGTATAGGTGTGACGATCTATGCTTAATAGTTAATATGTTGGGTTGACCCCATCATACCCATACATTGAAGTTACATGACTATTTTGTTTCACGTAGTCAGTACTGCATCATAGTGGCTGACATGTTGTTCTAATACCTGTCCTACAGGACATCGTAGTGGCTGACATGTTGTCCTAATACCTGTCCTACAGGACATCGTAGTGGCTGACATGTTGTCCTAATACCTGTCCTACAGGACAAGACAGGACACTACATGGACGACAGAGAGGACAGGATTATAACAGCCGGGCCTTACGAACTAGCAGACGACTATCACGCTAGGATACTAGCAAAGGTATACAAGGTTCTTTCTTTTCCTCCTCTTTTAGCTATAAACATGTTTTCACATGCATCACATACCAAACAACAGTGAAATTAACCTCTGAATAAGGGGCACCTTGGGGACATTGAAAGTGTCTTTGTTTGTATATTTAGATGTACTACAATACACTAATGTAGTAGGGGGCAGAAGTGTCCATTTGGTCCATTTTTGGCTGCCGAATGGTACATCACTGACTCCATTCTGTTCTCTTACAAACACTATGCTAATACTAATGGATTTGGACACAACAACAATGTTATATAATATTATAACACATGTGTAAGGTGTCATGCTAATGGATTTAGACACAATAATGGCATATTATACACGTGTTTTTGTGTCGGTTCTGTACCGTCTCGTCCGTTGCTAGGTGATCCTCCTCCAGAGCTACTGGCGACGGTGGTTGTCACGGCGATACGTGGACGCCCTGCGGAGGGAGCGACGAGTGAGACGAGAGTGGGAGAGAGAGAGGGAGGAGGAGAGGAGGAGGGAGAGGGAGGAGAGGGAGAAGAGAGAGTTTCGGCGACGGATGAACCCCAGGACAAAGGAAGACTTTGAGCTCCTTTACCACGCTCTGGAGGGTGAGGGAGACTGGTCATGTGACTATCACATGACTGAGCAAGTTGTCACGTGATGACCACCTGACTAATCAAGTTTTCCTGCATGTGATAATCACATGACAAAGAAAATTTCAGGCTCAAATTGTATGTGAGATGTTCTTGTTAGTCATTTCAGGGGTGTGCTTAGAGAGGTGTTCCCATTTCAGGGGTGTCCTTAGAGAGGTGTCCTCATTTCAGGGGTGTCCTTAG